TGTATGGGGACCAACGTTTGAATCGTTTGATGGTTATAAGTATTATGTAATCTTTGTTGATGATTTCTCTAGAGCCACATGGTTGTACCTTTTAAAGTCTAAGAGTGAAGTGATGGAAGTTTTTAAAGATTTTCACAACCTTGTTAAGAACCATTTTTCCTCTCAAATTCAAACCTTAAGATCTGACAATGGCACCGAATATATGTCCCATGTCATGTCACAATATTTGAGCAAGCATGGTATCATGCATCAAACAAGTTGTGTTGGTACACCTCAACAAAATGGTGTAGCCGAAAGGAAAAATCGTGACATACTGGAAAAAAACGAGAGCATTAATGTTACAAATGAATGTACCAAAGAGATTTTGGTCACAAGAAGTCATGGCGGCTGTGTACGTCATCAATAGACTTCCTAGCCGAGTCTTGGAGTTTAAATCTCCACTTGAAGTCATGAAAGGAAGAAAAATCGAACTTTCACATCTTAGAGTCTTTGGTTGTGTATGTTTTGTTCATGTTCAGCCACAACATCGAGATAAATTGGACCCTAGAGCTCTCAAATGTATTTTTCTTGGTTATTCATCAACACAAAAAGGATACAAGTGCTATGATCCTCAAATGAGAAAAATAATTGTATCCAAAGATGTACAATTCCATGAAGCTAACCCTTTTTTCAGCAAATCACATGAAGCCACAAGTCAGGGGGGGTGTTTCTTAGACCTACTTCCTCTACCAAGAATCAACACTCCAGATGTTTCAAACGACAGAGGTTCTAACCATGACAACATTGATGAATCTCCTACACCTCTCACTGAAGTCAACAATGAAGGCACTCACCCTGATGGTTCTGTACATGATGATGACAGCGGCAACATGGAAAATCTTCAAAGTGTGGCTGATAATTTAAACGAGGATGAGACAACTCTCCCAGTACCTCGACGCAATCCTCGACGTGATAGACAACCTCCCACGAGGTTTCAAGATTTTGTCACATATAAACCGAGACATCCAATCTCCAATTGCGTGTCGTATCAAAAGGTAACTCCATCTCATGCTGCCTTTCTTAACACCATTTCAAGTCACAGTGAGCCTCAAAACTTTCATGAGGCTAATAACCAAGTTGTGTGGAAAGAAGCAATGCGAGATGAACTCAAAGCACCAGACCAACACAACACCTGGAGCATCACCAAACTTCCAAAAGGAAAAAGGGCAGTGGGCTGCAAATCGATCTATAAGATCAAGTTTAATTCTGATGGTTCGATTGAGAGGCATAAAGCCAGGCTGGTGGCTCGAGGATTCACTCAAACATTTGAGGTGGATTACAAAGAAACATTTGCTCCTGTTGCAAAAATGAACTCAGTTAGGGTCATATTGTCTATTGCCGTCAATAAGGGTTGGTCCATGTACCAAATGGACGTGAATAACGCCTTTCTACATGGTGATCTTAAAGAAGAGGTCTATATGAGATTGCCACCAGGACACCCTCAAAGCCAAGAGCCTGATTTGGTGTGTAAGTTGCATAAGTCGATTTATGGATTGAAGCAATCGCCTCGTGCTTGGTATTCAAAACTAAGTTCCGTCCTTCTTAGTGTTGGTTTCAAAATGAGTAATGCAGATTCATCATTATTTGTTCGCACAGGAGATGTGAGCAAATTAGTTGTGTTGATATACGTGGGTGACTTAATAATTGCAAGTGATAATGTTGCAGAAATCTCCACACTCAAACAGTCACTTCAACAAATATTTGCGATTAAAGATATTGGGGTGTTGAAGTATTTTCTTGGAATCGAAATGGCATATTCTCACAAGGGACTATTTCTTAATCAACGAAAATACGTCATGGACCTACTCAAGGACGCTAATATGAGTGATGCTAAGCCTGCACTTACCCCTCTCGATAGCAAGCTCAAACTTGACTTGGGAGGCACGCCACTCTCGGATATTAGCTTCTATCAGAGGCTTGTTGGCAAGCTGATCTACCTAACGATCACCAGACCGGACATCTCATATTCAGTAAGTATCGCCAGTCAGTTCATGCACTCCCCCACCATCGAGCATATGAACCTTGTCAAAAGGATCTTACGTTACTTGAAAGGGTCCGTTGGTCGTGGCATCCTCATGGCGAAGAATGACAACACTCAAATCATGGGGTACTGCGATGCAGATTGGGCAGGAAACGCCATCGATCGCAAGTCCACCACTGGTTACTGCACCTTTGTTGGTGGAAACTTGGTCACGTGGAAGAGCAAAAAACAAACTGTCATCGCAAGATCAAGTGCCGAAGCTGAATATCGTGCAATGGCCCCAACCGCGTGTGAGCTAATATGGCTGAAAGAACTTTTATGTGACTTAGGTGTGTTCACGGCTCAACCAATGACCTTATTTTGTAACAATCAGGCTGCCATGCACATAGCATCAAACCCCGTCTTTCACGAGAGGACGAAGCATATTGAAGTCGACTGCCACTATGTCCGTGAACAAGTACAGTCGCAGGTGATTCAGACGCATTATGTAAAAAGCTCCGATCAGCTGGCTGATATATTGACCAAACCTCTGGCTTCTCATCAGTTTCAAAGGCTCCTCTCCAAGCTTGGATCCATCAACCTTCTGGATCCAGCTTGAGGGGGAGTATTGGAAGTTATTATTGGAAGTAGGGTTAAATGTTGGAAGAATAATGCAAGCTTTTGTCTAGTCTTAGTGCTAGTATAATTAAAGTGATAATGTTCCCTCATAATTGTAAAGTTAAGTTAGTGGCTTAAGTTAGGTAGGGTGGAGGCCATCACCATGTGTGCTTTGGCTGTCACCATGAGTGCTTTGGAGTGCTTTGGCTGTCACCATGAGTGCTTGGGCTGTCATTGTCCTCCACCTCTCGTTTTCCCTTCTACTTTCCCGTCTCTTCCTCTATATGTATTTTTGATCTTGTAACAGTTAATGATATGAAATAGACATCAAAACATCAATAGAAAATAATTTGCAGAAACAAAGAATTAATAAGTCATAAGCTTGTATTTACCAAATAAAAGTTTGTCTAAGCTCCGATTGGGCATGTACTCGTAGATCAATATCATTTCCTCATCTTCAAGACAGCAACCCAAGAGCCTAACGAGACTGGTATGTTGGAGCTTGGCAATAAGTTTTAATTCATTCATGAACTCCTCGTGTCCTTGGCCTGACCTTTTTGATAACCTTTTAATGGCTACTTCTTGACTTTCAGCCAGAATTCCCTGTACAGAGGAAGAAAAGCGCACAAGAGAACATTTTTTGAAGTTCAAAGAAAAAAAAAAATCATATTTTCGAAAGGGGGAATGATTTTTGGACAGCTTTTTTCTCCTGCACACTCCTATTTATTTTTGTCCTTTAATTCTCCTTGGATATTTGTTTAGGTCAGAAATAAACAAAGGTGTTCAGGAGAAGAAAAATGTACTTGTATTTAAAGCACATGGTGGAAGTGTCACCTTGTAAACAGGGCCAAATCCTCCCTCGCCGAGTTTATCAGCTTCAGCAAAGTTGTTTGTAGCAGCTACTACAGCCCTTAAACCGAAGATCGGTAGTTCTGCATCATCCTTTCCACCTCCACCTCCAACATCAAATTTACTTTTACTCTCAGTATGGTTCTTCTTATGCTTTCTGTTTTAGTCATAGTATTAGAACACGTTTGAGAGAAAAAGACACAGAGAGAGATGAGATCGGTGGTAGCAGTACCTTTTCTTTCCCGTAGTTTTCTTCCATAAGAAACAGCCAAAAACGACAACAATTAAACCAGTGATTGTTGAGACTATTGCAATCCAAAGGGACGGCTTAATTACACCTGCAAAGAGAAGAAAAAGATTTTGTTGACAACATCAAGATAATGGCGCCAAAACAATGACCACTAATTGCAACACGAATAATCATTCTATTATTACGTTTTTCCTTGATGTCAGAAGCTGCCGCTCTGACGTATAAAGTACTTCCATCACCTTCATTTGCTTCAACTTCATGCAGATTCAAGACATCTCCATGCCAGATTGAACATGCATTGCTGCTGCCATAAGTATAAGCAGTGCACTGGCATTCATTTAAGCAGGCTGATCTACAACTTTCGATACTAAGAGTACCATCATATTTTCAATTATCAGGCAATGACTCTATTTAATTTTAGAAGCCCATCTCCCGTAGCATTCCCACACGTCACACTGGTTCTTCTTGAACATCCACCAGAATAAATCTGCAAGTCCCAATCACTCTGCCGGTTTGGCACAAAGCCCTTCAAACATTTGCAGTAGTTGAAGGATGTGGGTTTGCAACTGGAGAAAGCCCCACAAGAAGCATAAACATCACACTGTCTTGGTTGAGACCAAAACAATTCCCACTGCTTGGAATTCTCCATCCATAGTAGCTGAATCTGTCCTGAGGCAGACATCGAGTATTGAGATACAATTTTAGGATTGTTAGAAGAATATGTGAAATAACTTTCGTTCTCATTTGTAACATAATTATAAATGAAGTTATGATCTATCCTCATTTCAGGAAGCACGTTGAAAGTATGCAGACTTTCATTCCATGGTCCGCTGGTCCAATACTGTCTAGACCTATTCCACAATAAGATATATGAATTGCTTTCATCCGGAGCTAGCTCAAGAGAGTAAAGACCTGGTGCAGGATCCTCCAAATTCTTCCATGAAGTGACAAATTGGGTATGATTTGTAATTTTGTTGAATCCAAGTTTACCTCCTGGTAGCAAAGCATGGGTTGGATGATCAAAGCTTTGCCATAAAGGCTCTGATGTATTATTACTAGAGCCGGCTATCAAGACAAGGTTTCCGCTATCCAAAAGAACTGCTAGTACAGAACCAGAACTGGTAGTGGAGTTTAAATCTGTTGACCAAACCGGGATTTTGGACATGTTCAAGAGAACTAAATTACCATCTAAGATGGTTAACACGGAAGAAAATCTATCAGATACCGGTATTTCCCTATTTGCTACCCAAACAACGGTCATCTCAGATGCCACTTGCTTGGAGTACCATATGCCTATATAGTAGTTTGAAAGCTGACCTGGTTTGAAGAAACCTAGCTCAAACATCCCACCTGCAGAGACAATGGTTTGATCGCCCGAGAGAGATTGGTTTTCGCTGATGGTGTCAGCTGCAAGGGAAACATGGGACTCGAGAAATGCACATAATAAAATAATGGAGAACACGAACTTTGAGTTTGGTTTGGTATTCATGGCTGCACAAAGAATTCAGCAGGCAGGCAAAGATTTACCGTATGCATGTTACTGGAACTTAACCTATATGCCCTTTTTGTGGTGATCATTGCAAGTCAACTAAGTCAAGTATTCAACCCTTCGTACACGGTTGCTGGCATATGAACCTAGTCTTCGTAGAAAGTACAACGTATGGAAAGGGCATGACCATTGTTGATGTGTTATTTCAAGTTAGATTAGGAAATGTTGGAGTGAGATTGCTTCAACTGCAAGCTAATGTACATACTAATCACACATGCTTGCAACAAATTATGGTTCATGTTATTTCAATGGGGTTCAAGAGTGTTTGAGCTTAAATGTTGTTAATTATCATAATCTTTTCCCATCAATACAAGTTTTACTAACAAAAATTGATCGCAAAAAACAAAGATATGTTGAAAATTTTCAAATTCGCAGTACCACAAAGTTTACAAGAAGATTCATTTACAAGTCTAAGTCTGTTTTTGGTCTGAACTCCAATCAAAAGATTGTACAATCTGAACCCATCAACACATGACTAATCGAAGGTAATGATTTCCACACGTCATTTTCTCCATCAATCATCCTCTTGTGTCGATGTTTGTTCGTACCACTTGATTCTACTGCAAACTAATTAATCACTACAAAATCTAAATCCCCCAAAAACAAAAAGATTAGCAGAGCTTTGCCTTCCTATTTTTTTAATTCCAGCTTGGCCTGGGAAAGCGCTGGGAACAACAGATAGGAAAGGGTCCATATAGCAGCTAATTCGATTGCATTCGAAAAACAAAATCATAAGAGAAAGAGAATCCACGGACGAAACGGCTGGGAAGAGAAAATGTTCCTTTTTAGGGTACTCTCAAGAACATAATCAGTGGAGACGAGGTGGGTCCTGTAGGGTTTAGAAATTATTATTACTATATAATTTACTTAAACCCAATTCAATTAATAAAAGAGTCCAGCTGCAGCAATTGAGCATAAAGATGTCACCACCAACATAAATTTAGATGAAATTTAACATGAATCACAAAACCATAAATGAAACAAAATTAGTGTGATTAGATGTAGTGCTGTTCCAGTCTCGACCAATAACACAAGATGAAGCTGATAGACAACACTCCAATTTATGAGTTATTTCAGACCCTACACCCGATCGAAAAAGGTAAGGGTAGAGTTGAAACTCAAAACCAACATTTCAACACAAAAAAACCAACAAAAACACGAATCCTAGAACTATGATTACAATGCCTCAGCTACATCGTTTCTGTCAAGCGATCATAGTTTCCACGAGTAGGTTCTCCCTGCGCAAGGGATCGGACTTGCCTTCAGAAAATGACTGTTCTCCTTTACACCAGGGGTGTTAAAAGTGTTCACTTGTGCTCCTAATGCTATGACCAAGTAGTCATATTCAAGGGAAAATTCCTTATTTCCCACCAAAGTTTTGGTCAAAATTAGCCCGCATGGAAACATTTTTTTGCTGCATCAATCTTGACGCATTCTGCTTCCCAATATTGGATCTCTCCATTTCTCTGCCATGACATAAAAGTTAAACACACACGACTTGTAGATCAAGTAAATAATGTTTAAGAAAGAAAAGAGCAGTCGATAATGCATGTCTCGATTTGAGACCAATCTTCATTAATTTGTCTTATGATTAGGATCGACAATAGGAGGGCCAACGTTGGACTGCAATTCTGCATACGCCACGAGACCTACCACTACTCCAATAATCCAGACGGAAATCAAAACAGAAAAACTATGATCGAGAATGAGGTCAAGCGAGCGAAGTTTTCTTCATTTTTTTTAGAAATAATGCACTTGGTCTACATTTGCTTGCCTATGACAATGTGTGTTATGAACCCAAAATAGGTCTCAATTGTGATTGTCTTAATCGGTGATTTAGAGATTTAATTGAATGTTTTATGCGTTAGTTTTTATTATTAAGGATTGCTAAATATGCCAGCTGGCATTTTAAGGAGTGGAGTCTGTATAAAAGGAGCCCAGCTCGCAGGAAACAAATCAGAACAGAATTTATAAGAAAGAAATTAAATACAAAAATATCTGGATCTCTGCTCTTTCATCTTCCTTCCCTCTTCCTCTCTATCCTCTGTGTTACTTGCAGGTTGATTAAGGGCTTAGAGATTTCGATCTTATCAATGTGGATCGAACAATTCAAACAAAAGAAAAAGGTAAAAAGACATGCTTTGGTAAACTATTGTAAATCTTCAACATGACCCTTTTAGTGGTAGATCTATGACATTTTGCTTAAGCTAGGAAAATAACTGATACTTCATCGAAAAATAAAAAAAACTTAAAAGAATGTGTCTTTATATGTTATGATGGAAAATATTTCAACCCAATTCATGGTAAGCAAGAAAATTGAGAACCTGATAGTACAAAGCACCACAAGCTTGGAGGCTACAGGGCGGCCATTGAAAGCTCTTGAAGCTCTGGTGAAGAAGGACAATATCGTCATTTGGAAAAAGTTGACCAGAATTGAGAGGCTGATCAAGTGAGACGAGACTGCTTCCTCAAGTCACTCAACAAGAAAAGAGTGAGTTGCGGAGCAACTGTAATATTCATTAATTAACAAAAATAAAATGAAATTAGTCATTATCTAACGGACACGTGGCACTTGTTAAGTTTAGTTATTTTACAGGATGAACCGATGAGGTAACCGAGTTGGTCCCACTCCACTCCCTCGGACAGTAACGTGATTATTGAAGTAATACTAAGGAGATTAAATTGTAAACTAAATTTTATAAACTAAATGATATGGAAGTTGATGATTAAATTATTGGTTAAACGTTGGTAAGCATGCTCATTTCATATTGGTGACACATTAATTAATTTGTAAATTTAGTCTCCTTAGTATTACGTTTGATATCAATCAATGTCGCGTCTTTCACGTTTGCTTATGTGTGGATGCAAATGTGATGAACGATGTGATTTTAGGGAAATGTTTTAATGTTAATAGCTAGAGTATTACGTAGTGTTATCAATTGTCGTCATGCACTGTATAACGTATGATGTTCATCAATTTGACTCATACAACATATGTACATGTAATTTTATCAAAATTGACATACATTGACACACACAACAATTTACCTAATGTTTCCATCCCATGCAATAATTTTTTGAAAAATCAGGTAATAAAGCAAGCAATGACCAATGAGCAATGAACAAGACCACCTACCACTCCCACAAACATGATCTATCCAATGCTTACTAAACCACATTATCTCTCTCTCTTTTGATTGAAACATAATGTACCTGCCAAACTAACAAGAGGTTCTCTTTTGTATTGTGTGCATAGTTTTAGTGGCGTCACTTGATAGGTATTTTACCACCTACAAAAGTAGGGATAAAATCAAACAAAATACTTGCAAGAGAACAAGGTTGTTGTAGTATAAACGGCTCAAGCAAGGTCGTTTTCCGCTGGCATTATTTAAAACAATTTATGAGAAACCCTAATCCTAGTTAACTATTTAAAAACAAAGATTAGAAAATGGTGATTTAAAAACAAAGATGAGAAACCCTAATCCTAGTTAACTATTTAAAAGGAGCCTAGCTCCCAGGAAACAAATCAGAACATAATTTACAAGAAAAAAATTAAATACAAAAATATCTGGAGCTCTGCTCCTTCATCTTCCTTCCCTCTTCCTCTCTATCCTCTGTGTTACTTGTAGGTTGATTAAGGGCTTACAGATTTTGATCTTATCAATGTGGATCGAACAATTCAAACAAAAGAAAAAGGTAAAAACACATGCTTTGGTAAACTATTGTAAATCTTCAACATGACCCTTTTAGTAGTAGATCTATGTCAAGGTACTTGGAATATGTCACATCCCGGCCCGGGGCGGATCACTTCCCGGGCCCGCTCCACTACCGTAGCACGATATTGTCCGCTTTGGGCCTCTACCCCGCCCTCACGGTTTTGTTTCTGGGAACTCACGAACAACTTCCCAGTAGGTCATCCATCCTGGAAGTGCTCTAGCCTCCTTCTCGCTTAACTTCGGAGTTCCGATGGAATCCGAAGCCAATGAGCTCCCAAAAGGCCTCGTGCTAGGTAAGGATAGGAATATACATTTAAGGATCATTTCCCTGGGCGATGTGGGATGTCACAATCTACCCCCCTTAGGGGCCCGACGTCCTCGTCGGCACACTTCCGGCCAGGGATTGGCTCTGATACCATTTGTCACATCCCTGCCCGGGGCGGACCACCACATCCTGGGCCTGTTCCACCACCGTAGCACGATATTGTCCGCTTTGGGCCCCGACAATGCCCTCACGGTTTTGTTTTTGGGAACTCACGAGCAACTTCCCAGTGGGTCACCCATCATAGGAGTGCTCTGGCTCCTTCTCGCTTAACTTCGGAGTTCCTACGGAACCCGAAGCCAATGAGCTCCCAAAAGGCCTCGTGCTAGGTAAGGATAGGAATATACATTTAAGGATCATTTCCCTGAGCGATGTGGGATGTCACAGAATATGTAAACTGATTGTAGGCCTTCAAGCTAATCAAGCAAAAGGGTAACTTAAGAGGTGAGGATTCTTTTCCACAGTGAAAGATCACATGAAAAGAATTAACAACCTCAAAAGGCATGTTTTGTTGCTGAGAAAACAGAGAGCAAATTAAATACAGGAGAAATTAGGTTCTCATCCTTTCTTTTTTCCACTTCATTGATTAAAATCTTATTCCTTTTCAATTTTTTATCAAGGTCCTTGGTATTAATAACATCATTAATTATTTCAATAATAAAATATTTTTTATTTCTAAATATATTCATTTAATGTTAAAAATGTTACAATTAGTATATTTATATTTATGACTAAATTTTTTATCATATATTTTTAGTTTTAGTTTGTATCCATTTTTAATTTGTAATTCTTTTTTAACTTGTACCATTTTTTTTTCAGTTTTAATTTGTACCTATATATTAATTTCTTTTTGTGCCTATATTCTTTTAAAATTTTATTTGTATTTGTACCCATATATATTTTTTGTATTTGTACTTTTTATTTTGCTAAATGTACCCATGCTAATTATATGTACCCATTCATATAAAACTTTTTAATCTTAAAATGTACTCATTCTAAAATATACCAATTTGTTATATGTAAAATGTACCTTTTTTTATATAAAATATATTCAATTTTTTTCTAATCTATTTTTAAACTTATATGGGTACATTCTTTTTTCTTTGATTTTAAAATGTATTCATGTCAAGTTTAATTGAAGAAATTTACTAATATTATAAAGCCTAATATCTTTTTCTTTTTTTGTGATTTTGAAGAATGTATCCATGTTTTTGTCACAGCCCGTTCCGGAAATATATATTTCGAGGACGTGAAATGACGATGCTGCCCTTGACGTTACTAAGGTGAGTGTGTGACATACTTTGTTCATAAAGTTTATTTTCCTAAGTTTGGAAAATTTTATTAGCTTAATGGGTTGTTATTTGTGTGGTTAAGGTTTAGGGTGGACCACACACACTCAGTCTTCTCTCTCTCCCTTTCCCCTGTGCTTTCCCTTTCTCTTCCCCGTTATATCTCCCTCACCCTTCGAAATTGTACGGACATGGACCAAGGACATCAAAACTCCACGGATCGAAGCCAAAAAGGTATGGTTCTTCATCCTTTCGACCTCCTGAGTCGTTTGGTGCTACTTTTAGGAAGTGAAACCTTCGAAATCACGTGGAACCCGAACCCCCATTTTATGTCACTATTCATGCAATCGTGATATGTTGCATTTCAGGGAATTCTAAGCTTATAGTGAGCTTAGTGAGGTCCCAAGGAAGCTCGGAGTGCTTCGTTTGAAGGTTTTGGACGTTGGAATCACTAGGTTCGATTTTGGCCGGTTTTTCTTGGAAGTTTTCCTGTGGGATTTAGTTGTTTTTAGAGCCTTAAAAGTAGTATATTGTGAAACTACATGCTTAGGGCTTCATTTTGACATAAAATATGAAGAAAATGGGTGAAAAATGAAGGAGAACAAGGGGATTGAAAAATCCCCAGTTTTCCGGCTACCGGAAAACACAGTCCGGCGAACCCAGGGAAGAAGACGCGCGTGGGGGGCACGTGTCCCCGTGCCTGCCCTGGCGCATGCCACGTCAAAAAATTATTTTAAAAATTCCTCGACGTTCGTGACGACGAGTAGGTCG